ATGGATTGTGGGAAGAGTTAGTCATCAGTTGAAAAGTAGTGTTTTACAGTAATGGGAGCTTTTATAAGGGGAAAAACTTAAAAAATGTTATTGCCTGTGTTTTGGAAATTATAAAAGGCGGCATGCTTTTGGTCTTTTAAAATGAACTTAAGTCTTCAACTGTAACATCATATCTAGTTTGTAAATAGAATGACTGTAACTGGATTGGTTGGTGCAGATCTGCTGAGCTCATCGGTGCTGTCAAATGGGCAATGTGTGGGTTGTGTTTGCATGTGTGTGCGCATGTGTGCGTGCCAGTCTAACAAGAGTGATGCTGTTTTTCTAGGTCCTCAATACTGAGTGAAGTTTCTACCCGATCAAGATCTAAATTGCCATCGGGCAAGAATATTCTTGTTTTTGGTAAGTAGCAAATGTAAGCACTTGGGTGGTGGTTTGGCTTTTTTTGTAAAAATAAAGCGTGTTTAAAACAACGATGTGAATGAACTGACACATCAGTTTGTTAAAATTATGTAACATGATCTACGGTATTACTGTCTTAAGGCAGATAAATTTACTTTCTTTTTGGTTTATGGTGTTAGATTTACAACGTATATTTAAATAAATATGAGCTGTTGGATTTAGCCGGAATACTTGAAAGAAAACAACAAATAAGTGTGGTCCAAAACCATACAATGATACTTCTGATTACCTAAATGTGTTTTGGATTACCTAAATGTGTCTTTTTTTCCTGTAAAAACTTACTGGCAGGTGATGATGGTTCAGGTAAAACTACGCTTATGGCTAAAATACAGGGAGCAGAGCATGGCAAGAAAGGAAGAGGGCTGGAATACTTGTATCTAAATATTCACGATGAAGACAGAGATGGTAAGTTCATTTTATATGTAATCTCTTTGCTGTAAATAAGTAGCTGACATGGGTTTTTCATAACTGTGGTTTCATCAGTGTATTTTGGGTTACGCCCAAGTAGCTGGTTCCAGCATTGTTCTGTATGTTTTAGAAGCTATATCAGTTTCATAAGAGTGAAATGCTTTTTATATTCGGTATACATTCTTCCTCTTGTCCTTCTTATAGCTTGACCTGTGTATGAGGAAAAAGTACACTTGAGCAGCTCTCGGGATCCATTTACTTTTAGGGTAGATATATCTGCTGATGTTGACTTACTAGCAAATATATTGTCATTTGGTACGACTACTTGATAACTATAGAAAGTAAGTGATACATCTATGAGAATTTAATTTGTAGTATGGATTTCTGGGTGTGACGTTTTGGTGTTTTCTTGGTGGGGGCTGTGTGCAGAATTTTAGTTAACTATAGCTGAGATGTTTTGTTAGAGTTGAATGAGTGAAGAACAGAACTTAATGTCAGAATTAGTATTTCCTTTTCTCAAATTGGAGCTTGCCTCTTTGGCCCTTGTCTTTCTCTTTGTTGATGATGGCTGTTCCTTACTATATGGGAAGGACCATTTAAAAGCAGGTCTAATGATCAGAATACTCCTGTTTTTAGGAAGATTAGGGACAGGAAGAGATGAGGAGTGAGTTCATTATCCTTGCTTCTAAATCTGCCTCTGCTTGTCTCATTTTGGGCAAACCGCTGGACCTCTTTGTTAGTTTTCCTCCTCAAAAGTGAGGAATTACAATCTTCCTATTCATGACTTCCTTCTGAGTTTTCAGTTCAGAAGAGGGAAGCAATGAGGGTGGTTCATCCGTGTTCCTGAAAGCTGATGAACTAGGAAGATCCTATATGGTATTTTGGAAATGGAAATGTACTGAAGGCTCGCATGAGTGATTAAGTACCATATGTGACTGGTTGTTATGGAGATTGGTCCTGTGCTCACATGGTAATAAACTGTCTTCGGATACTAAGTTAAGCACAATTAAAGGATGAGTACACTGCCTGTGTCTTCAGTGGCCACCTAATCTCGCAGTTCCTAGAAGTTTTTTGTGCCGTAATTTTAAGTGCTGAGCTGTTCTTGGCTTCTTGAAGTTCTTGGTGTAAATGCTTTCTCACCACGCGCAATCTTCTTTAGTACTGCATAAATACTTTAAGGGGAAAAAAAACCTCTATGATTGAATGTTAAGACAGCCTGTGACATCAGACTTCTTGCAACATCAAAGGGTATAGTATAAGCAGAAAAATATTTGGTGTGCTATTTTTGCTGGTGCTGTCTATCAAACCTCAAGTGTGTCTCTACTTTGGAAATATTTTGGGGCTATTCCTGAGTATCTGGAAGTGATAAGTATTTGAGGTGGTTAGGAGAAGCCTGTCCTACGAACTCAGGCAGCACAAGCAGGAAAAAAAAGAGACCTCTTTGACTACCAGACTCGGCTGGAGAATTCAGGTCTTCATGCATCCCTTTAATGGATGTGTTAGGATGTAGTAATACATGCCTTTGTCCTTTCTGTCCCATTAGTGTCATCAGGAAGCAAAATAAATAGCAAAGTGGGTCAGGACCTCCCAGTAGGCAAAGATAACACGCTTCCTTCTCTAGGACAGGTTTGGGTTTGTTTCTTTAAACCCTTTGCGTGCTTTAGATGTGCATATGTTCAGATAGAGATTTGGGAACAAAGCCTTTAAAACTGACCCACAGTTCTTGGAAGCCATAAAGAAACTGAAGATAGACATTCAGGAGTTTACTATCGCATATTCATTTTTGAGGGTATCTGCTTTTTGTTACACCCTAACCTATTCAAGACCAGCAAACCACAAAGATTTTGAGGGGTGTCAAATCAACACTGGTAATCAAAACTCTCTAGTGGAGTGAGAAGATCTTTTCATCTTCTTTCCCAGGTGCTAGATTTCTTTGCTCTCTTTGCCTTTTTCTTCTTCATTTCAGAAGAGTTTATTCTGTCCAGAAGAAGTATTTTGATCATAGTGCTGAGTCATTATCTACCTCCCACCTCCCTTTGGAAATCTTAAGGAAAATCTTCTTGTTGCTTCTTAACCCCCCCACCCCTTCCTCCCTAAGGGATATTTGAATCTGGCTCCTCCTGCATTCGAAGTAGAATTACTCTAGATTGCTAGGTGCATATCTTAGTTTACGGTTACTTTTGTCTTTTTCCCTAAAGATTACATCAGTTATTAAATTGTGGTTTTTCTTTTTTAAACAAATGCATAGAAAACATTTCTTTTTTGAAGGACCTCTGTGGCTAATACAGGTGCCCACTAACTTTTTTGTTTTCAGTGTCATCTGCTTGTTTCTTGGCAGTGGCTGATACCCGGCTTGGGTGGCAAGATACACGTCACCACTGCGTTGGTAATTAGCTGGTTCAGTTCTGTTAGGTGTCAGTCGTTTGATGTAGCATGCGATACTTTGGTCCCTAGATCTGAGGATAACTTAGAGCAAGTCCACTACTGAATCACTACCTGAAAAATCTCCTTCCTAGGGTATATCCCAAATTCTGCCTAGGCATTTGTTCAAGAAGAGGTTTGGGGATGCCTCAGAAGCAATCCTGAGAGAGAGGATTCTCCTAGATCATTAGCTCCAGGTATAATACCCTTGGAGCATATGGCTTCTGCGTACATGACACCATAGTTCATCTGGATGAAAGCACTTTTAGCACTAGCTGTGAAGTTAACTCAGAATATTAAACGACCTCGGAGCTCAGGCCCTAGAGTCCTCTGGTGGCGGAATTTCTCAGGGACTGTGGCCAGTTTTAATTTTTTGCCTTTCTTTGTGATCAGCAGATGTTTTGTGTCTATGCTGATTAGTCTGCTTTTGAGAGCTGAGAATCTTAATTCAGAGGCTCTGCATAATTTTGTTAAAGGATATGTATTTCTAGAGTAGCTTTCAGAGTCTCTTGCAGTGATGGGGCACAGTTAAAGTGAGGATGTACAGTAAGACAAACTACATCTCCTGGTTTTGTAGCAATACTGTATGGGTTAGCTGGCAATTCTAAACACCGTAGAGAACTTTCAGTTGAACTGCCTCTGTTCAGTTGAACAAATGCAATACAGTTCTCCTGACTGTGCCAAATGTGCCAGTGAAGTAGCGCCATTCTGTTGTTCCATTCTTACTCATAGCAAAAACAAGTAGTCTTGGGTTTTTTGCCTCAGGTTTGGACTGGCCTCAGTCATATCATATGCATATTCCAGTTGAGCTGGTTGTTCCAGATTGAGCCAAGTGCTGCTGGTACACTGGTTTCTGATGGGAAAATCGTAGTTTTCCTGAAAATTATTTTTCCCTGTTTTGCTTCTTTCACAGCCTGGACAAGGGGTATCTAATTATCACTGATAGCTTTTGAATAAATGCAGGAGATATAGTTGCAATTCACAGAATCAACCATCTGCAGTAAAATTCATCAAAGCTGGAAAATATTTTTCATGGCTAAAGGGACAATGAAATACTGACAGGATGTAGAACTGTAGTTTTAGCAGCTGTTTTAGTAGTCTTTAATATGTGGCACTTGCATTTCCAACAGAATCTGGTAATTGTTTGCTCTGTTTTGGTATCTCATGTCATAGCCACTATGAAAGGTCCAGTTAACATTCACATCATATGACTAACTAGGAGCTTGACGTGATGCTGACAAAGTTGAATTTGCCATCAAGTCCTTGCCAAATTGTGAACAACCAGTACTGTATTTTTAAGCATGTTTTATATTTGTGGTAAATGTAAATCACAAGCCATACCTGTTTACTGTAAGAAAGGAGGAAAACCTTCCATTTTCATACAATGTTACCTTTTTTTTTTAAGAACATTTTAATGTGAGTGCTAGACTTCCAGTCTTCCTAACAGATTGATTTGAGTGATAGTTCCAACTGCATTCTAGTTCCACCTCTATTCTAGTTCCTGCCTGTATTCTAGATGTTAAGCAGAAAATAAATCCTTTAAGCAGGACAAAGGTGTTTAGCAAACAAAACCTTTGTAACCTTTAGATATTGGCTTTAAAAAGTGACGTAGAAGCAGTGAATTATGTTTGCTTCAGGAGACAGTTGTGCATAGACATAGGTAATGTCTATTAATAGCCTTTAACTCATAGAAAGCTCCCAGGGCAGATTTCTGCTTTGGGGAATATACAAAGGATGCCTCCGGAATGCAGAGATAAGAGTCCTGTGTAGATGTTTCATTTACTGTCATGTAATAATAAATGTGTAACTGTGTTCACATTATGTCCTAGTTTCCTTTCTGTTTTTTCCGAACTTTTACCAGGCTCTTCCTCTGTCTTCTGATAACTTTAGGTTCGTACATCCAGTGCTGTGAGAATCCTGTGTGATAACTGTGAGACAGTTTCCTGAAGTGGGGAGGAGGGAGGGGGAGAACAGTTGATGAGTATGCAAAGGTGCATTTCTTAGATACACAGTGATTATCGTAACTGTTCACTGTAAAGGATAGATCTGAAATGCACAGTTGGAAGTAAGATCTTTAATTTGAAAGCATAACTGTTGGCCTATTTGTGTGATGACTGATATTTGAATGTCTTAAGACATTCAATCAGTGCTTAAGTGGGAGCATAACAAATGCTAAATGAAGACTGCCTATGTGTAGCATCTTCACAGAATCATAGAATGGTTTGGGTTGGAAGGGACCTCAAAGATCATCTAGTTCCCACCCCCCCCCCCCCCCTCAAGGAGGACGACACCCTCCCA